TGTGTCTGTGTCTGTGTCTACTTCTGGTGTGTGTGTGTGTGTGTGTGTGTGTGTGTGTCTGTCTGTCTGTCTGTCTGTCTGTGTATGTGCTTGTGGTATATGTATGTCTGTGCCTGTGGTATATGTGTGTGTGTCTACTTGTAGTATGTGTGTGTGTGTCTGTGCTTGTGTGTGTGTGTGTGTGTGTGTGTGTGTGTGTGTGTTGTTTTGTCATCCCTGGTGACTCAGCTGCACCGTAGAGCAAGGATGTATGTCCTGCTAAGACTCCAGCTGCCTGTGGTCTTACTGGGGTGCTCTGTTAGGCTATAGGCCCAGCTGAGGACAGTAAAGCATTGGGGTCTTGAAGGAAACACAAGATTCCTGTGGAGAGACAGCAGGAGGGGAAGGCAGGAGGCAGCCTGGGGCAGTGAGGATGAGGACAGGGGGAAGGACCCAGGTAAACTATGGCAAGTGGAAAGAGGTCTGGGATTTATCCTTTCTCCGTGGCAGGTCCCTCACAAACTAAGACCCAATCATAAGGGAAGATCTCTTAATTACCCCCAGGGAAGCCACTCAGGAAGCCTTCCTACCCTAGCCTTGCCTGTTTCTCCTCATCAAAAATTCTAGGCAGATGCAGCCGCACAGCAGGTAGCAGGAGGCGACTCAGGAAGATGGTCCTCCCAGGCACTCTGGTGAATCCCTGGAGCCCACCACACCCCACCCCAGCAGAACAGGGATACTAGGTCTGAAGGCTGAGCTCTGTCTGTGAATGTGCTGTGTCAGGATTAAAGCCTGGGAGTATGGGAGTTTGAGTCACTGGCAGGGCAGCTCCATTTCTGAAGACGATCTGTGTCCCACCCTCCCTCCTTCTCCCCCCCCCCCCCCCGTCCTCTCACCCCCACCCCCCACCCCCACTCTCTTCCCACTTCTGTATCAGCATCTTGCCCTTCTTGTCAGAAGGAGGATTCACTTGGTTTCCCACTTAAATCTCTCATTTCCCAGTGGATTGCTAAGGGACTTGGGGCACACGGATAAATCTCTAAGTTGACAGGTCGGTGTGAGCAATGAATTGGAGCTCCACAGGGGAGGAGGGCTCTGGGAAGGTCTGAACCTTTGCAGTCAGGAAAGTGAGATCACCCATAAATTTGCCCCCCCCCCCACGCCCCGGTCAAGTGCTGACACAAATGTACTCAGAAACATTTCTCGAACCCTGTTATGTGACAGCGTGATTCTAGATCTAAGAATCAGAGCTCGGTCCGCTTGCCCTCTGTGAACCCCACTCCATGGGGTGAGATAAACAAATCATGTCACTTAGAAAATAAAACAGCGGTAAGAGAGAGAACGAGGAGGGGGAGGAGGAGGAGGGGGAGGAGGAAAAGGAGGAGGAGGGGGAGGAGGAGAAGGAGGAGGGGGGAGAAGGAGGGCTGCTTCATCGGGGAGAGCAAGGAAGTCTCTGCCAGGTGATGAGGTTGAGTTGATTATAAGGAGCTGAGATCTGATTATACCACCAGTTATACAGAGTTCTAGGTAAGAGCATTCCAGAAAGAGACAATTGATGAGAATGTCCTGGAGTAGGACGGAGCTGACCCTGTTGAGGAAGACAGTGACTCAGGCTGAAACCAAAGACACCAGCAAGGCTGCCTCATGGGTGTGCAGGATGGGGGACAAGAAGTGATGGGTTTGGACCTTCTGGGAGATGGCTGTGGTCATATGGAGAATGGATCATAGAAAGGCCAGAGTAGGAAGCTGGGACCCTAAAGTCACAGGGCAAGAGAACATTGGCTTGGCCACAGTGGTCACAGCAGAAATAAGCAGTGTATATACTCGTTTCTGCATGGCATCCTGGGACCAAGGTCTTCAGAACTTAGGTGGGCAAAGAGAAGTAGCAGCCATGGGGAAGACTGAGCCTTTAGGTGCAGACTTCGAACCTTTAGATCAGGCTTCGGGCAGAGAGTGGGGTCAGCTTCTGAACATGTGGAAATGCTTTTGGTTGCTCACCGTGACCCAGTGACTCAGGATAGACAGCTGGCTTTGTGGTGGACCCACCACCAGCCTGCCCTTTGCCAAGCCCTCACTTCTACCCAAGAAGTCCTGAAACCTGACTTTCACGGAGGCAGAATCAAACCGTACCTTCTCCAGACTTCCCCTATTAGAGTCACAGAGCCTCCTCCAGCTTGGAAAGAGTGTGAGTCCGTGGGACACACCCTGAGCCACAAAAGCGAGAGGTAGAGTCCCATTCTCGAAACAATCTGAGACCCTTTGACCACTGGAGCCAGGGATGAAGTCGAATAAGCTTCCTTACATCCCAAGGAGTTGACTCTCCTCAGCATCAGCACCACTGCCCCCTGATAGTGCTCAGAAGCAGAGTTCAGCCCTGTTTCTGCCGGTGAAGAAAATCTGTGTGCAGTGAGCTCCTAGGGTAGCCCTCAATGAAAAAGTGAGGAGAGTAAAATGGGGGCCCCTGCACCCTCAGAGAAGGAAGTGGGAGATGAGGAGCACCACACTGACTGAGACAGAGCATTTGCCCACTTGGGATGGCATGGCATGTCTGTGTTTCTCACAGATCTACCTGCCCCCCCACCCCCACCTACCCCTGTCAGCCACCTGGGCCTTTAAGCCCAGCTGTCCCTATCACAGAGGCTCCTCAGTCCCACCTCAGAAATCCCAAGACTGTGAGAGAAAGGAGGGGCCTTCTAGGGCCTTGGGTTTTGTTGTTTTACCTGCAAACACAGATTAGCTGTGTAACGGTCCAACATGGAAATTGCCAAGTGTATGGGGTTAGCCACATTTACATTAAGATAAAATAATACTAAAAATTCAGGCCCTCAATCCCAAGAGCCACATACGGAGTCTCCAGCATCCATGGTGGTTAATAGCTACAGTTTGGGACATGGCAGGTGTGGGACATCCCCATCATCTTATAAAACTCATCTATGTGGGAAGGCTTTGGGCTAGGGTCTCCCAGAACCTGCTACAACATCATGTGTTCCATGAGAAATGTGGGTTCTCAGCCCTAGCCTGCCTCCTGGGTGAGAAACTCTGGAGTGACTTTCAGCTACCCTTCAGGAGGCTCTGGTCTAGAATCCAGATCTTGCATCTCCTGTCCGCTGAGCCTCAACAGTGGTGCAGGCTTATAAAGAAGCTTCACAAGTTCAAGACTAGCCTGGGCAACTCAGCAAAACCCTGTTTCAAAATGAGAAACACTAAAAAATCTGGGTCTGCAGCTTAGAGGCAATGCCGATCTCAGCCCATTGCTGAAGTAAGCCAGATCCGGGTTGTGGCCCTGGAAAATTCAGTGATACAACCGCACTAGCTGGAACTCTGCTGGTGTGACTATTCCCTGATTTCTTTCCCCATCAAGCCTCCCCAGGCCCAGGCTCATACCAGGCTGAATTCCTACCATCTTTTTTTTTTTTTTTTTTTGGTTTTTCGAGACAGGGTTTCTCTGTGTAGCTTTGCGCCTTTCCTGGAACTCACTCTGTAGACCAGGCTGGCCTCGAACTCACAGAGATCCGCCTGTGATGCAGGTCAGGGCTGGAGAGATGGCTCAGAGGTTAAGAACACTGGCTGTTTGTTCTTCCAGAGGTCCTGAGTTCAATTCCCAGCACCCACATGGTGGCTCACAACCATCTGTAACGAGATCTGGCGCCCTTTTCTGGCCTACAGGGATACATGCAAACAGAACACTGTATACATAATAAATAAATCTTAAAAAAGAAAAAGAAAAGAAAAGATACAGGTCTGCACCCTTGTGCCATACTGGGGCACAAGTGCATCCTGGAAGAGCCACAGGGCACACTCAGAATCGTGATGGGCATCAAGTAACTTTTATGCCATCAAGGCAGGTGGCATAATGCTTAAGAACCCTGAGCTTCCCCGTGGTCGGTGTGAGAGGTCTGCCAACATGCTGCAGGCCACTTTGCCTGCCAGACCTCCCATCCAGACACAGAGGGAACAACTCAGAGCTATGCCTTAGAGGCTCAGGGCCCCAGACCGAAGCGAGGTTTGTTACTTCCTGGCTGGCAACTTAGCTGAACCATGGAACCTCTGCTCGGTTCTGTTCCCTCAGTCCATGAAGTCTAAATGAGGCTAGGGCCAGTCTATGAAGGATTAAACACCCTTATGCCTGTAAAGGTGCCTAACTCACCCAAAGCCCCCCAAATGCCTTTACTATTATTCTGGACACTAAGAAGTTGGCCTACTTTGGAGACTCTCTTTCTGTGCAGCATAGCCTGCCTTTTCTTTCTATTCTTTGGCCCCAAGTTCTCCTGTCGCTCTTTGTCCCAGATTTCTCTTGGTATGTGAGTGCCCCCTTGGGTTCTCCAGACCTATTTGGGAATCAAAGAGGCAGATGGCGCTTGTGTTGGGAGACATCAAAAGGGAAGCATTTGTGCACTGACGGCATACCTGGTCTCCAGGAAATGGCCTTGCAAACTTGGCTGCTCTGGTTATGGCTCGGCCTTCTGTAACTCTCTGCTTTCTTCCCCTGTGCCTACTGGGACTGTGCCGAGTGTCGGTGTTACACAGAGGGTGTTTGTGACGCTAGGTCTGAGAGCCACAGGGCCTGCGAGTTTCCAGCCTCACAAATCTGCCACTTCTGCCCCCATGATCTTGTACAAACCATGTTCTCCTCAGCCTCTTTCTTCACCTGGGTCATGGGAGAAGAGACACACAGCTAGGCTGCCTTGAGCTCCCAGGGACCAGACAGGAAGCTATCCTCATGGTTCTCTGGCCTTAGAGCCTTCCCCTTCTCAGGCATCTCTTGGTATTGCTTTTCCCACAGAGAGAATCCACTGGCCTGGATCCCCTTCTCCAACCAGACTCCTGCTCCCAGAGGCCCTAAATTCCCCTTGCCAATGACTGACCCTCCACCATTCCCGCCTGCCCATGCTTCTCTCCCCACAGGCCCTGTTGATAAGCTTCCTCTCTTTAAGTGGATTCTATTATTTTCTTCTCTCGCTGTTTCCCCCTTCCCCAAATCTCCATCTGCTCTTGCCTTTCCTCCTTCCTGCTCTCTGCAGCTGTGGGCATCCAGATGCAAGTGGACTACCTCCAGCGCCAGTTCTGGGCAGCAATGAAGCAGGTAGGCATTCATAGGGAAGGACTGCCCCCACAGCCTGGCCCATCAGTCTCACAGGAGACACCTCCACTCTGCTTCTGCCTTCCCTGACCTTCTCTGGACCCTGCATATTGGGCCTCTCCCCACTCCTACTCCAGTGCTCTGTCCCTTGGTCAGATCTAGAACAAAGGGTAAAATAGGGATACTGCTGTTGTCCCCAAACCACCCTGGCCTTGCCTGTTACAGAATAAAGCAGAACTTCACTTGGCCCCTCCCCGTGAGGCCCAGGCCCTGTTGACTGTCCAGGCTCCCAAGAACTTACCCCTGCCCTATCATCTACGCGAGCACATGCGCGCGCGCGCACACACACACACACACACACACACACACACACGCACACGCACACACGCACTCGCACACGCCCCAGGAGCCTTCACTGTCCTCTGCATGTCCTTCTAGCCTGAGTCATCGTCACAGGGAAGAGTCCCCTCTACTCCTTCAGTCCGGGCTGCCAGGTCCCTGCCTTGGGCACAGGGAGTTGCACAGTGAAAACAGAAAGGCCACAGAGGTGAAGGGGACCAATAAGAACCCACTTACCATATGAAAGCCCTAACCATGTGACGAGTGGCCTGTGTTCGTCCTCAGAAGAGCACAGCCTGCTGCTCAGTGCCCTGCCCGCTAAGACATACCTACATGTGTATACATGCCTGTCTTCACATACTCCAGGCACATATACTCCATTTACCACAGGCAGATTCTCCACATACAATAGGCACTTCACAAATGCACCACATAGTGTATATATACAGACACACATACATGCACACACACACACATCACAGACAGACCTCCCAAGTACAAGACACAGTCCACATCTATCCACATACAACACACTCTTCATGACTATAGCACACTGCACACATACAGATATACACATGCACACAGAATATACATACCATATGTAGACCACACATAAAATGTGTCCAAACACTCCACATACACACCACACACAAACCTACCTTTAACACATACACACTGAATACATATAGATACACACACACACACAGGATGCTACACACGGGCACACACAGACACGCGTGCACTTGCACCCACGAAGGCACACACCGTTCACAGTGTCTCCTCTTGCTTCCAGTGTGGCACTGGAGAGGGGCCATGCCCAGAGAGCTGCGAGGACACTGTAAGTTACTCCTGAAGGAGCGAACAGGTGGGAGGTCTGTGTCCTGCGTCCTCCTGTGGACTACTTCCTTCTCTCCAAATGTCCCCTCCCTGACCCTGCCTGCGGGGCTCATCCCCCCCTCAGCTGTTTGGATGAGCAGGAGGGCTGGAGCCAGCTGTGACCTCCTGTCCCGGCCTCTCCCCCAGGATCTGGACTGCTTCGTCATAGACAACAACGGCTTCGTTCTGATCTCAGAGAGACCTCAGGAGGTAAGTGACTGAAGAGGCAGAACTTAGAGAAGAGGGCAGGAGGAAGCCAAGACCCTTAAGCAGCTACGTCAGCCAAATAGGCCAAAAGCTGGGGCCTCCGTCCCACTCTGGAGCAAATCAGGGTATAAGAAAAGGAGTTATCCTCAATCCAAATCACAGGGCAAGATGACAAGTGCGGATCCCTGTTACCTGTGACTAAGCTGACCTCTCTGAGAGGCTGTGAGAGGAAGTGCCACATCACACGTGGTGGGGAGCCACTCAATAAGAACACTGCTCGGGAAGAACACTGCCACCATGTGTCCTGCCCCCTCCCCCACACAACCGGGAGGGACTTTTGAGCCCGAAACACCCCTGCTGCCTGTGCCTTGCCCTCCTTTACCCATCCTCCCATCCCTCTCTTGCATCGTGGTACCCAGGGGGACTTTCCCATCCCTCTGGGTCTCTCCTTTCTGGGACTCCCTGAGGAAAATTCTACTGTCGTCACCAGTGCCAACAGGTTAGCAGGGGCATGGGAGCAATCCTTCCTTCCTTTACCCAGCAGGCTGCCTTCCCCCCAAGCACCGACTCAGACAGAAGAGGAAGCCACGATGGCAATTTTATATCTGCTCAGCCACAAATCAGACCCTAAAATTAGCCAGGAATTATACTTTAAATTACACTTTTTAAAAGAAGCCTGTTCAACCCTGGGCCAAACCTGAACATAGACACCTGAACCAGTTCTTTGACACAAGCCCACAGCCCTGAATAACCTCCAAGAGGAACTTCATCAGAAGGCGTATGTTCAATTTGTCTAGCAGCTTCCAAGACCTGGGCCTCAGTTGTCTCCTCCTGAAAACCACAGGCTGAGTCACCTGATGTCAGGGCTCAACCCCAAGCTGGAAGCTCCAGGTGCCTGGATATTGACAGAGTTGCAGGGGCAGAGCTGACTCTGACCAGAGTCCTGGCCAAGGTAGTCTCTGCCCTCAAAGCCATACTATAGCCTCGTCCAAGGCTGAGGGTCCGTGGAAATTGTCAGAACATGTCAGGAAGTAGGCCAAAACATCAGGAGTCTGGGCACAGATAGAATCGGGAGAGAAGGGGACCAAAGGGCCATGGGGCTGGCTCCCCGGGAACAGTTCTTGAATAGCCCGCTTCACATGCAGCAAGGGCTGAGAAGGGAAAGCAGATCTCACTGTTTCCTCCTACTGGAAAGGCTTGGGCTGTTGTCAGGACGCTGCCCAAACTTCGACCAATCATTAGTCCTGGTATCTGGGCCTCGGGTTCTGCCTGCCTCCTCCCCTCCCTTTTCCCACTTTTTTTTTTCTCCCATGCCCTTCTTCACATAGAGACAGTCCATTCTGTCAGAAAATGGATGAAAACAAACGTTGGCCCTATGGCTGAAGAGGCCTAAGGACAACAGTGTCTCAGTCACTCAGACCTTAGGTAGTCCCACTGCCATATGACCATGACTAGCTGTGGGTCTCCTGTGGAGTAGCTCAAGGGTCTGAAGGTGGCCATGAGCATAAGGAGTGGCAGGGGAGCCAGGTGGTTTAGTCAAGCGAGAGAAGATTACAGACAGGCCCAAAAGTATACCAGGATATGGGTCAGGGAGCCTACGGAGGGACAGAGAGCGTTTCGGGGCATCAGCCTTGTGAGCTGGGGGTCTCTGATGGTGGCTGGGCAAGAGCTGAGACAGAGGACACATGAGTGAGCAGGCACCGTTTCAACAGGATCTGCTATGGATACTGAACATCTCATGCAATGTTCATGAGCTTGAAATATTAATGGCCTCCTGATTTTTTCCCCTAACCATTTGAAAACAAAAAGGCTGTTCTTTGCTCGAGAGCCCACGCAAGTCCCCAGTAGGCCAGTCGGAGCTCTCATCCCTAGCTTGCCGATCCTTGCCCGCAGCCCAGTCTACCTGAGACACGCAGCAAAGGGCCACCTCATGAAGGAGACCCCAGGGCTCCTGAATAACACATTGGGTTGATTTGCTCCCATTCTACCCAGAGGATACCCACCCATATGCTCATGAAGTATAGTCCCAAGACATCCCAGAAACAGTCAGCTTCTTCTGAGATTTATATTTGATGCAACATACATTTTCATTCTCTATTTTAAGTAGTTAGCTTATGTGCCTTCATTTTCTCAAGTGTTGTATTATCTTATGTTTTGCATAGGCTTACAAGCTGATCCAAATCCTTTATGAAATTAGACAAAGTATAAATGAAACTAGCTTCTAGCACAGCAGTTCTCAACCTGTGGGTCTCAACCCCTTTGGGGAGTCGAACAATCCTTTCACAGGGGTCATCTAAGATTATCAGAAAACACAGATATTTACATTATGATTCATAACAGTAACAAAATTTCAATAGCAATGAAAATAATTTTATGGTTGGGGGGTCACCATAACATGAGGAGCTGTATCAAAGGGCTGAAGCATTTGGAAAGTTGAGAACCACTGCTCTAGATGCTTCTGCCAGCCCCAAGACATGCCCCCAAACACACACACACACACACACACACACACACACACACACACACACACACACACACACGAGGTTGGTGAACTCAGACCAGCTTTGTCTGGGGTGGGGTACAAGTCCCTACCACCTGGTCGCCATCCTGAGTCCTTCAACACCCTGTCCAAGTTTCTCTGTCTCTACTCAAAACAGCTAACTGCCTCTGATGCACCTGGTCAGGTCTCATAGAATTACAGCCAATCCTGCAGATCTTTGGAGGCCAAGGATAAGGAGTGCTGAGCCCCTGGGTTAGCTCTAGCAGTCATATCAAGACTGGAGTTGAAGCTCCTTCACGGGGCTCAGTATCTCTTCCCTCATCTGAACATGCCTGGGACAAGCTGTAAGCTGAGCTGTGCTGGGTAGTGAGGCCACCAGACCCACAGGCCTGGGACTCAGACCAGTTTGAACACACAGATAGAAGCACCTGGATGGGTATTTGAGGAGCAGCCACACAGCAGGAAAGTTAGCCCTGCCCTGGGGCAACCATCCCACAGTGGGAATCAACTCACTTCTAAATTCTTTCCTGCCTAAGCCATCCACTGGACTCCAGGCTCGAGGGCAGATCTCATAGGACCTTGACTAAACTCAATGCAGGCAACCGTAGGCCTTTGGCTGTTCCAGAGCTCTGCAGCATGTTGGCTGTGCTATGTGCAGATAATCTCAGGTGGAGGGTGCCTTGGGAAGCCCTTGCCAGCTCTGTTCCTCATGTAGCCACATGTTAAAATCTAGGTCCTGAAGTGACGAGGGACCCAAAATCCACATTGGGACCTTCCCTTTGCAGGTCCAGAATTTCAATCTGAGGCACTAACTCATTTGGACAAAATCCAACAGTAGCTATATCTGTTAGGAAGTATGTTGTCCCTGATGCATTGGCTTAAGCAAAGCACAAGTTATCTCATAGATCAAAGCAGCCTAGGCTTAGTATGGCTTCCTGGAGGCACCAGGTATCCCCATCCTCATGGTGGCATCATGGCAAGGGGAACTGTTGCCTTCTAGTCCACTTCCCAAACAGGAGGGCAACAGTGGCGTTTGGGTGCCCCAACATAGTCCTCTCACTTTAAGCAGATTCCCAGAAGTCCTCATCTGGGGTTTGCTCCATTTCATTGGCCAGCCCTCAATACAAGGGTTTCTGGGAAGTGTAGTCTTTTGTGGAGCACATGGCTACCATTTTTGCAGCCAAGCTGCCTCACTAAAAGAAGGGCAATGGACATTTCCTGCTGAGTGACATGTTCTAGGACATGGAGTTTTGTTTGCAGAGGCAGAAGTATTTTCCAAGGTGTGCTTCCTTACAGTCAGACCTCCCATCTCAGAACCAGGCAGAGCTCAGCAGGGCTGGTGATGAATAAGCCTACAATTATGCAAGAGAGCAAGATGGGCTTACAGGAATTGGGATCAACTGTCCCTGGTCTGCACCCGGCTTCCCTGTCCCCCGCCCCCCCCCCCCCAGACAGGGTTTCTCTGCAGTTTTGGAATTTTGTGCTATGTGCAGATAATCTCAGGTGGAGGGTGCCTTGGGAAGCCCTTGCCAGCTCTGTTCCTCATGTAGCCACATGTTAAAATCTGGGTGCCTGTCCTGGATCCCGCTCTGTAGACCAGGCTGGCCTCAAACTCACAGAGATCTGCCTGTGCTGGGATTAAAGGTGTGTGTCACCACCGCCTAGCTCCGGCTTCCCTATCTTAAAGAGCATAAGTTTCAGGTTTCACACACACGCACGCATGCACCTCCAATGAACAATCACAAGCAGAGTAGTCTGCAGGGATCTTGCTACCTGGTGATGGAAGAGAAACAAACACACACAGAGACACTAGACTAGCAAAGAGCTACCCAACTGAGCAGAATCATCCAAGCACAGGGCAGCGAGAACTCCAGTCGCCTTGGAGGGTGCTGGGCAATAGTTGCAGGCGCCCCCAGATATTGATTGATTAGATCATGAAGGGAAGAGAGATGGTCCTGTGTTATTTTGGAGGTGGGGAGGTTGCATAACACTTTCCCAAACCAAACTGTCTGGGATTATTTTGGCAGCAAATCTAGGGAAAGGGAAAGGGATGGGTGAAGATGGTAGAGACGCCCAAAGAAGGCAGAGCCCAGGAGGTGAAAGACAAATGCAATCAGTGCAGAAAAGGGACAGGACATGGAGGGCAATGAAGAAGCCAGTATGGGCAAAGCCCATGGCAGAACTTGCCGAGAACGACCTGTGACATCATACACTACCACCCCCATTACCACAACCACCATCACCTCACCGCTGCCACCATTATTATCATCACCATCACCGCACACTACATCGCCAGTTACACCTCCACCATCTCATATCATCACTGCTGTAAATTAGGTGCTCTGCTCAACGGCAGCAGCTTACACCTCACCTGCTGCCGCCAGGTGTGGCCCATTTCCACTGTAGCAACTCATAGCGACACATGCCCCCTTCAAAAGGACCCTCTGGACATCACAGCGCTCTCGCTCTCTCTCTCTCTCTCTCTCTCTCTCTCTCTCTCTCTCTCTCTTTCTCTCTCTCTTTCCTTCTCCATTCTCTCTTATTTTCTCTGTCTCCTGGCCTCTCTGTCTGTCTCTATTTCTCTCTCATGGCCCCACTCCAAGACGGCCTTCCACTCACCCCTCTCCCTCAGTAAACCTCTTGCATTAGATCTGTTGCATGGAGTGATCTCTTAGTGGCACGCCCTGGCTGGAGCCTGCCAAAGATACATTCCCATCGCGTAATCCTAATAATCACTACTACCCCACCATCACCACCACACCCCCACACACCCCCACACACACCCACACCCCCCACACACATACCACCAACATCAGCACCCCACCTCCGCCATCACCACCATACCACACCCAACAAAAAGCACATGCAACAAAGGGGGCCCACAGACTCATTTTCTTGAAGGTCCTGATTCACGTGCGCTGTTCTAAGGAACCCTGTACCCCTTTTTGAGCACCCTCTGGGCTGATTTCACAGCCAGCAGAAGATGACAGCATGATTTAGAAAGCATTGCAATGGGCAGTTGGGGGTGGGGCTGCAGGGGAAGAAGAGATGATTCCATGGAAGAGCAACTACAGGGACTGCCTGGTGGTAGCTCTGGCTCCCTCTCACAGATGGGAAGACTTCTGGGGGAAGTGGATGGTGCTCTCATGACGCAGCTTCTCAGCATGGGGGTGTTCAGCCGGTAAGTGAAAAGCACCCCTCCCTGGTCCTCAGATAGCCCTCAGGGTCTGACCTCAGATGATGCTCCGGACAGGCCCCAAAGATGCCTTTCTGAAGCCAGAAACTGAAGCCAGTCTCGGGATGGGTGTGAGGTTGTGTGACTATCCCTCAAAGAAACTCTCCAGCCTCGGCTCAGGGTCACAGGAAAGCGCAGACCAAAACAGCAAGTGTGCGGTCCGTGTTCTTGAAGCCATCCAAGCATGGGAGTGCCATTCCAGCATGAGCTGGCTTCTGTTCTGGCTCACCGTTCTAGCTTGGGTACCCACATGGACCCCAGTTAGCACAAACCCTGCCACCAAGACCTCTAGGCCAGGGCATGGAGTGGTCTTGGCTTCAACACGGCTTGCTTCTTCTGCGTTTCAGTGTGACCATGTATGACTACCAGGCCATGTGCAAGCCCCCGGACCATCACCACAGTGCAGCCCAGGCCCTGATCAGTGTGAGTGTCACCCCAGGCCTTCCTTCCCGCTACTGGGGCACATCCTCTGCCCTGTCCTTTGCAATGTCACCTGATCCCATTCCCATCTGCCTCAGACCTTCTGGCTCAGGCTATTCAGGACTCTGCTCTGATGTTCACCCCTCCCCCTGGAGCTGTGGGGCTGTCTTATCCTTGGGGGTGCACACCTCACTCCCAGGCTGACATTAAGATCTTCAGGGGTCCCCAGCACTGATCCACCAGAGATGGGAAATGACCAGAGTCCTGAAGGGTTTGTCAAATCCTACCTGTGGGGAGTCTGACCTACAGAAGACCTTGAGGTCCCTCTGCTCTGGGGCTCCTTCTGAGGGACAGGCAGGTCAGGTCTGGAGGGTGCTGTGCAGGGGCATCAGCTGGTGTTTCCCTGAAATAACTCCGCTCTTCCTCCAGCCTCTCTCTGCCTCCCTGATGGTGGTCCGGTGGCTACTGCATGAATTCCTGCTGTGAGTAGGGGTTAAATGAAGAACCATGGGGTGGGGGTGGGAATAACCCATGGTCAGAGGTCAGGGAGGGGAGGGCTCCCTGCTCCAGGGAAGTGAATCATGAGGCCAGGACCAAAGGAGAGGGCTCCCGATAGGTGGGGCATGAATCTAGGGTTAGGGGGCCCAGGTGAAGAGAATTTCCTTTGCGGGAGGACTGGGTCACGATTAGAGGTGACAGGTAGGAGAGGATTCCCTGCATATAGGGACTGGAGTATAAGGATATCCTTAAGAGGGGTTGCCTATGGCCCACCAGATAGCCTGGCTCCCTAGCCAAGGGAGGAGGGAGGCATGCAACTCCACCCTCCACCCTCCCTCCACTCATGTCCTCAAGCAGAAAGACAGCTTCCTACAGGTGGCAGCTAGAGACGGTACCCCCTGAGAGCTACACATGCCAGCCCCCAAGACTGGTGTTCCATATCCTGCAGGTTCCTGCTTCAGTGGAGTGCCTGGGGATCTTGGTATGACAAAGGGTCAGAGGGTAAGTTCTAGGAGGCAGCTGTGGGCAGCATTTTGGGAAGCTCATTGGAAAGCTTTTGACAGGGGGCGGGGGTGACGGTGGGGTGGGTACCGAAGCCATGTTCATGTTCATAATCTCATCTCACCACCTTCCCCTCACTCCGGGCTCCCTCACCTCTGTGTGTGACATCACATCACCTCCGAACACCTTCGCTCCATGTGACATCATCACTGCCCTATGACATCTTGCCCTCGTGTGATGCTGTGCCTTTCTTGTGTCGTGTCCAACCCTGTGGTGGGCATATGTCCTGGGCAGCCAAAGCTGTCTTTCATCACTGTAAGTAGTTCCGGCTGAGAGAGCCTCGTCCCAGCGCACTGGGGGAGCTGTAAAGGGCTTCCCTTTAAGTCTGTCCTGGGAGTGAGCATAGGCAGGCTGAGTTCCTTTTTCCTAGAACACTCCTTGATTGGGATGGCGGGGGAGGTCCCCAAATCCATCATCTACTTTAAAGTTTCTGGGGAGCAAGAAAACACGGAACTCAGGCCACACAAGTACAGCCCTGCCTTAGGAAACAGCTGTCTCCTCTTGAGAGGTTACAATGATTAAAGGGAGGTATGGCCCATCACGTAGGATGCCACCAGGTCACCCTAGAGAAGGAAGCAGTGGCACCTGTGCCCAGGTATCTACCAGCCTCAGCAAGGCTCCAGGTTTGAGGGAGTGTCCTCTAGAATGATACTCCTCCCATGAAACTGTGCCTAAGGACAGAGTCCCCAAAGACAATGGCATATTGAGGCAGCCCTGACACAAAACGAAGGAAAAGCTTTGTCCCTGCTGCCGGTGACGCTTGCTGCCAGCCTGGAAAGGGGGGATGCCTGGTCTTTATGAGCCAAGAGACACAAAGGCACTTAGATCCTGAAGATGTGAGGCTTCCCGGGCCGTAACGACGCCTGACTTCAGCCCACCCTGCTCAGTTCTCTCTGGGTTCTGGACATCCAGTGGCCGGAAGGCTCCCACTGCCTTCTTGTTTGGCTTCCTTATACAAACAATGTCCCCTCCTTCCCCTCTGCCTCCTCCTCCGCTGCTGCTGCTGACCAGGGCACGTCCTTGGGTCCGAAGTTCCTTTGGTTAGGCCCCTTGGTGATTCCAGGCTGTGGTGGGAAGTCGTCCCCAGCCGTTCTCACGGGGCCTGACTGGATCAGTGACAGAAGCCGTGTGTGGCAGTCTGCTCAGACTTACCCCAGGCTCAGGATACAGACAAAGACGGCCCTGCCACTTGCACGCTCTGTCCCTCACTTCTGCAGGGCAGCCAGGAGACTCGCTAGTGACCTCAGAGAAGCCATCTGGTCCTACCCCTGGGGACTCTGACAGGTACCAGCACTAGGATGACCAGTGACTCTGATGACAGGAAGATAGCTCAGCTCTAAGCCTGAATCCCTAGGAGGAGAGGAGCCAGTGTGAGGTGTCTGTCCTTGGGCGCCCAGGACCAGGAGTAGGGGCGCCCAGCAGCATGAACAGGAATGGAAGCTAGCTGTGCTGTGGGCACTTTTCCAGCTCACTCGGACTGTTAAGCCTGCAGCCTGCCTCCCCTCTTAGATTCACGGTCTGTGAGGGAAGCTTCTGGGTCCAGGCACTGAGGAGACCTGTGATTCTCCTCACTCCTTGTGTGACTTTGCAAAAGCAAAGCCATGTCTGCACCTCCATTTCCAGGCGTTTCCAGGCCACGGCTGCCTTCCCTACCTCCTTTGCTGCTGGGCGGAAGGGGCAAAGTGTGCTTTGGAACAGCAGCGCTGTACAGTGCCCACAGGTGCTCTGCAGAGAGATCTCAGGGGCCCCAGCAAGGGCCGTACAGCAGCTCAGCAAGGCCCGCAGACTCCACTGAGCTTTTGCTGAGTGCTGGCCACGGTATCCCCGGCCCTTGTAGCAAACTAAAGGATGCTGCCCTTGCAGATGGGCTTCCTCAGACCTGTGTGATGTGTGATAGCCCTCCTCACCCACATTCCTGTCACCTGCAGCCCACAAGCACAAGAAGCAGGACCTACTGCACCCCTGTGACACAGAATACCCAGTGTTTGTGCACCAGACAGCCATCCAGGAGGCCAATGGGATCATCGAGTGTGGGGCCTGCCAGAAGTAAGTCCCCATGCAGTCACCAAGCCTAGCCAGGGTGCAGCTTCTCGCCCCTGGCACCCACAGGAAGGTCCATAGCAGGAAAGGATTGACACCTCAGAGAAAGGCCACCTTCCTCATTTCCCCATTCTTCAGTACAGGGAAAACCCGTACAGGGAAAAACTGAGGCAGGAGAGAGAGCAGCAACAGTTTGGTGGTCTGTTTTAGGGGGCACACGGACAAGGGGTCCAGAGGCCAGTTCCCATGTCTGTAAGTCTCTCTGAGTCCAAAGCCATGGGGCCTCCCTTAGGAACCCCTTGCTTGCCTGCCCTCTGCTCAGGCCAGACCAGCCAGGGCAAGCTAATGCCTGGGCCTTGCACACTTACGCCACCGGCTGGGAAAGAAGCAGAAAGTTCTGTCCTGTACAAAGCAGGAACTATGCACAGGTCTGGGGTGTCCTCAGCAAATGCACAGGATTGGAGGGGGCTTGGCCCTATATTCCCTGGGGCATCGCCACCCCAAGCCTAGAGTTTCTAAGCAGGACCCAGTCAGGCTAGCTCCTGGGTAGAAACCCCTAGCTCCATCCAGACTGGCTTGGAAGGCCAAGCCTGCTGCTTCCCACTCCAAACCCTGGAGGAACCCGCCCGGAGACTTCTGTCTCAACCCAGGGGGATAGTACCTCTAGGAAGCTCCCTCAGCCAGTCTCGCTGCTCACCAGGGCCCCCAGCAAGTCTGGGGAACCCCAGACCCATGCCAACTATTTTGTAGCGTCAGATTCTGGCATCAGACAGATTTAGGTTTCTGTCTCTTTATCACGTGTGACATCTTATGTGCACACAGATCAGCCTTCCTGAGACCAGCACTATCGATGTGCTTATCTCAAGGCTTGAAGGAAACGCCAAGGGGATGGCAGAGAGTAAGGGCTTCCCAGCAGACAAGCTTGACTCTTTAAATCCAGCTCTGGTCCCTTCTACCTCCAGTATAACCTTAGCCTCAGTTTTGTCTGTGCAGAATGGGAACTAGACCAAGTTCACACAATGCTGTGATGATCATATCTGTGGGTTTATAGGTGTGATATATACCTGTGTGTGCGTGCAACATCACCCACGCCATACAAAATGCTTGGTGGCAGCCTGCACTGCTGTGTACTAACACCTGGCCAACGCTTAAAGGCCTTTCCCTACCCTCCACCCCCACCCCAAGCGGTGTATAGGAGCATTGTGCCACCTTGTGGCCAAGCCAAGAACTGCATGTTCTCCAGATCTCAAGCGGAGATAATATCCCTGCTGGGAATGGCCCCCTGCATATTAATGACAGCCCCTTCAACCTTCTCCAGGCTATTGGGAAAGGAGGGATGCCATGTGTAAAAGTACTGGGCTATTGGTCTTAGTCTGCCTGTGGCTACATGTCTTTCCCGGTGTCCTGGAAGGTCTCTCCCCCGAGACCTTCTCCTGGGGCTGCACCCCTCCTACTCAGGGACCACCACCCTCTCTACTGCAGGACATTCGTGATGCAAAAGATTCCCAGCAGCAACTTGCTCCTCCTAGTGACAGACCGTACCTGTGACTGCAGCACCTACTCTCCCATCCTCCAGGAGGCCACAGAAGTCAAATATATCCTTCGCATCCTCCAAGGGGGAGGGGCTGGCTGAGAGACCATGGAGGAACTCAGATTTGGGGCACAGAGTCCAGCCTGTCGCCCGCCCCATTCCCTTCCTTACAGCATGACTTAAGGGCCAGCCCCTCTGCCCCCCCCACACACACACACGGGGGGAGGAAGGTGGCTGCCCATCCTGAACCTGCTCGCAGGGCCACTGACCTCCCAGATCTTGACCCCCAGGATCTCTAGAACTTTGGAGAGTTGTGACCTTGACAGTGAGCTCTGCACATAATGCCTCTGTCAAATGTAACAGGATGCGCTCCCAGAAGCCCCGGCGGCGACCAGGATCCTGCCATGCCTTCCATCCAGAGGTGTGTGCTGTGGACAGAGAGGGGCCTGGTCTTCACTTTTTGTCCTGTGTGGGACTTCCTGGGATATGAATGTTTCTGGGTGTTGGTGACACCACTGTATGTGTCCGTCATACTGGGAGACCCTGGCATCCACATTTACGTGGTATAAGAAATTAGATTCGCCAGGCCTGTCATCTCAGCGCTAGGGGGCAGAAGTAAGCAAGGGAGTTCCAGGTCAGCTTGTGTGGGGGGCAGGGAGGGAGGAGGGGGAAGGTGAGAGACCAAGCAGAGAGGAAGGAAGGGAAGAGAATGGAATAGGGGACTCAGGGAAAGCTGTACTTCCTAGGGCCTGGGGTCCACTAACTTTCCCTTCCTGTGCTCACTCCCGCTACCTCAGCACAACTCCCCGTTAGTTATGTGGCTAGTGACTAATAGCCAGTGGTATTTATTGACATCTGAGCTGGGGGCCTTACTACCCAGTCTCAGCTGGGTGTGGCTGCCACAAACTACCTCCCCTAGAGATGCCCCTGGTGAGGTGGAGGTGAGGGCTACTCCACACCATTATGAGGAGACGGGCCCCAGGGACTAAGTACACATTCTCTACTACCCCTAAAAGCTCAAAGAAAGGCAGGTTTCCTCTCCTCTTTGGAACTTCCCTGTCTCCCAGGTTTGTCTGTGTCGAGCCACACTGTGCATGCCGGCCCTTGGGTTGGGAGGACCAGCCCACTCCTAATGTCCCTTACCTCTCTGGCTTCACAGGAGAACGCCCAGGACTGTGGTGGTGCTTCAGACACTGTGGCTTCTCTGCCTCTGCTCCTGCTACCGCTGTGGGCCTGGCTGCTTCCACCACAGCTTCTGTGGTGACCCCATCCTGTCTGACTTTCACAGAAGGGGACCCTTACAGAGACATCCTAAAAAGTCGCCAGCTGATGAGGGCCCAGCTCACAGCAGCGAGGTGTCTCCTGGCTTTCAGTCCTGGGCTACCAATCTCTGTTGGAAGGATCCCCAAGGCTCTCCAGGGTGCCGAATACCAGCCACCTCGTCTTCTACTCCTGCCTCTGCTTCAGGACTCCAACAAGAGCTCAGCTGGAGGAAGGGGAGATGTTACCAACGATCAGAACCAGCCAAAGGGCTGGGTGTTTCCCTGGCTGGTCTACTGCAGATCTGAGTTCTGGGGGCCAGGATGAGCAGTGAGGCCCATGCAGAGGCTGTGGCAAGAGTACACTCGCCACAGACACAGGAGTCCTTGGGAAGGCACTTTTATCAATCCCAGATAGTGCAAGGGAGGACAGGCAAAGGGAGAGATGGGAAGACTCAGAGAGGGACCAGGAACCAGGGAAGAAATGGAAAGGAAGTAATAGCAACAGAATAAGCATTAAATCCTGTGAGCTATCATCAGAATGCTACCACTGAAGAACTCCATCCTTTTTATACTAATAATCTGAAGGAGAGTGGGGAGGGTTATGTATGTGGGAGCATCTGCAGGGAGGAAAGGGAAGGGAGAAATGTTGAAATTATAATCTCAAAAGGGAAAAATGAAAAAAGAAAAGCTACGAGGCTGAGCCCTGCAGCCGCTGCACTGGACAGTAGTGTGGTCCAGAGGAGATGCTGAGAAGATGCCGGCCGAGGTCCTCATGGACCTCACTAAGGCAGGGTACAGGTGAGGTCTCCAAGACCCATGGTGGGCTTTCTGTGGCTCACACTCAACAAAAGTAACTACTTGGCTGTCTTGGGGAAGCCCTTGAGGTTGGAAACAACACATAGAATCCTTGCCACAATGCCCTGAAGTAGGTCTACAATTTACCTGCCCCTTTTTGGCATGTCTGATGTGTGCAATTGTGTATGTTTGTGGACCTGTTTGTGCATAGATGCAGAGGCCAGAGGACGATGTTGGCTGTCTTCCTCACCCACTCCCCACCTTCCTTTTTAAGACAGGGTCTCTCACTAAACCTGGGGCCCTCCAATTCAGCCACACTAGCTGGCCAGAAGCCCTAGGGATCCTCCGTCACCACCTCCCCAGTGCTGGGATTACAAGCATACCCCATTGTTTGAAGGGTCCTCATACTTCACTAGCTAAGGCTCTCAAGCCCTATGAATTACCTGTCCTTTAAATGAGGAAACTAAGCCTGGCACAGTGGTGAGCACCTTTAGCACTCAAGAGGCAGAGGCAGGCGAATCTCTTCGTTTGAGGCCAGAGTGAGTTCCAGGACACCCAAAACTACACAGGGAAACCCTGTCATGAAAACAAACAAAAAATAATAATAATAATAATAGTAATAAAAGAGGACACTAAAGCTAGGAGAGGGGAAACTGGTTCTGAATCTTGGCTTTGGATCCCGTCACAGGCATGTACCTAGAGCTATATAACACGCAGTCAGCACGAGACACACTAACCACTCTCCCTGGCACCTTGCTTCATAGCTTAGAAGACAGGAAAGATCAGAGGGGCTGCCCAGCCCAGGTGAGGTATCAAACTGTCACAGCTGAGCTTCCTTCCTCTTCATGCCACCAAGACAGCGTTGTCAGGCATGGCGGGGTAGGTCTTTCCCAAGTCCTGCCACAGTACCCGACTTCCTTGCTTTGTCATTAGTGATGTAACTACTCAGCAGCACTAGATCTCAATGACAAGCACTAAATGGGCTCTTGGGGGGTGCTCATCTTCCTCACCCAACCAGACAGAGCATTTGAACCGACTTATCAACTATTTTGGCCACAGGATAATATTGCTAAGTGTAGAATGCCCGGCAGCTCCTGGTTATGAACGTGGAATTCCTGTGTCTGGCACTGCTGAGGGCCTATAAGCTTTAGAGCATCACCAGAAGCAGTTGAAGAAAAGGCATTTCCAATAAACCACTGCTCTGTCCCTACGATGCAGAACAGATGACACCAGAACTCCATCAAGATGCTGGCAGGTGGTAGCCTAGCTTTGGCTAAAGATCCCGGCCCTTGACTTCTGGAGAAGGAAGTTGGTGCCCCTGCCACTTAATGGGGTATGGCATTCTGGCATCTGTGTCGCCTTTGACGCTGCCAGAAGCACGAGAAATGTGCTAGCTACTGAGCTTGCATGTTTAATAGAACCACCTCAAATAAAAGGCTTCAACACCATTTTGTTATGCTAAATGAAGTTTTGGTTCAGGAGAACATGGGAGTGGACATATCTTAAGGTCAGAAAAGTATAGAGGTAAGAGGGACTCAAATACAACAAAAGAAGTTAGAGCAAGGGCTTGGCAGAAACCAAGCCAAGATCGACGGCAATTTCGGAAATACTTTTTACAGTGGACCATACATCAGGAAAGCTGCAAAGGATAGACTCTTTTATTTTTGACAGGTGAGAGCACATGGGACCAGGGAAGGAACCGAATCATGTCCCACGGCAAATGACAGACTAAGGAGGGCATGTACCTGCCTCTCTATTCTGAGGCTAGTGTAGCCAAAGGACAGACAGAAGAATGCCAGGACATGAGGCTGCAGCCCAAGTCCTCCTCAATGGTTTCTGAGGGGTTGAGCCACTGAGTACTTAGATTGGGGGTGGGGAAGAACCAGATAGCTTGTGCTGTTTGTGAGGGAATAAAGTGCAGCTAAAGCAGAGCATCTGAGCCAGTGTTGTTCCTGGGCTATGGCAACACGGTCTAAAACGCAGCATCCGAGCCAGTGCTGTTCCTGGGCTATGTCAACACCATCTAGAGCTCTAGGGAGTGCAGGCAGTCCCAACAAAGCACGAGACCAATGTGCATGCATGCAGTCAGGTTCCTTCAGCTCTTAGACCCCTATGGTCACTTCCACCAGGTGTAGAGAAAGCTCATCTTTTTCTAAAGACAGGGTATGTGCAGCCCAGGCTGGCCTTAAACTTATGATCCTCCTGCATCAACTCCTGATGGCACGAAGTTTCTACAAATTCCTTAAACTTCCTGTCTAAATTAGGGTGTTAAGGATATCCCTAAAGTGAGGTAAGGTTTTTAAAAGGAAAAGGAGGGGGAAAAAAGCAATAAAAACACAACAAAGTTCATCTTCCATTTGGCTCTTTTTATTAGAGAAATTGAGAAGACAGCAAGTAGGGAAATCTTATGGTGAATGGAACCAGTCACATAGATGCCTTTCTGGAACCCCAACCTATGATCCCCAAAAGTGTGCTTTGTGACTTCAGCAACTTAGAAAGGGGAAATACTGGAAAAGGCCACTATTTACTGATGAAAGAATGAAGGTGTACACGTTCCTAACTGGCCTAGGGCCAAGAAGAAAATGAAACACGTGCGCAGAGCAAGCCAGCCTCAGACTGCTGAAGGTAAGGCATTCAGGTGCCAACCTGACGAGCTCCCGGGGGCACCAGGTCAAGTGCACATAGAGGCTGTTGTAGTGAGCTGCGCAGACGTAAGCGGGCACACACATGCCCACACACACACACCCAGAAGGGAAGTTACTGGACTACACACTGGCGGTGTTGATTCTTTTCCCTAAGAGTTTGTGCTATGGTGAACCAGATTCTCCCTGCTTTGGGAAGAGGGATGACTAGACCCAAAGACCTCTATTCTGTAGGGTCATGGGAGAGCATCTCATACTCTATCCCAAAGAAAAGGACCAGAGAGGAAGTCTGGCTTCTGATATGTGCTGTTGCTACCACAAACCTAGGTGAGCTTCCTTCCAGATGGACATTGTCCTGCTAAACTGCTTGAGGAATTAACACTGTTCTTAACTCTGCCTGGCACGAAGCTGTTCACCCAGAGTCTTCTGTTTGGTCTACCTAGGGCAGTGACTTTATCCACAGCCAAACACTCCTAAGTTCTTCCAGGTTTTACAATGGGCTCTTTCCTGGATCCCCAGCTGTAGTAAAGGAAGGACAACGACGACGACCAAGAAAACACTACTGAATAAATAGGAGCGCCTGAACACATTCCCAAGCATCCCTTTTGAGATCCCGAGGCCCCATGTTACACTGTGATACCCACCAACCCCAGGATGTGATGCCTGCCTGAAGTCCTGGAGACTTAAGTGCTTGGTTTCTTACTAAGGAGCAAAGATCAGAGTTTTATAAGCCAGACCCAGCTCATCCCCAGTCTCTAAAACCCATAACATGGTGGCCCTGGAACAGAGAAATTATTTGTAACTCCTAGCAGCAATTCAAAATTGTGGGCTTAAGTCTATCAGACTACCTGGCAATAACATACCACTTCCTTTTAAACTCTGTTCCACACTCCTTGCAAATGGCATTCAGTGAGTGCTAGCAACTCCACAGTAGATACTGCTGCCTTTCTGTCCAAGGAGAGCAGAAGATCCTATTCTGCCACACCACGGTTACCAAGACAGTGCACCAGGGAAAAACACCATCATTCCTAGTAGGGATGGCTCTCCACAACTGCCTATTTGATTTCATCGGAATCTCACTAGTGGCTGGCTCTCTATGCCAGGAGCTATGATGCCATTTGGTTGGGGGGGGGGGGTGTTATTTCCAGGAGGAAGAAGGATAGTTAGGGCAGTGATTCTCAATAGAGCAAAGTCTGCAGAATGGCTCAGGACTCCACAGAGGGTCTGGAAAATGGCCACGCCTCTACTCAGATAAGAACCAGACAGGCCCTGTGGTGATGCCCCCTCCCTCCCTCCCTCCCTCCCTCCCTCCCAGAGGTCCTCCTCCCTTCATAGTTCTTTACTATGTCGACTAGGTGGCTCCACTCTTCACAAAGGGCCTACATGACAGTCTCTCAAATGATACCTTCTCTAGAGCCATTCGACAACCTCTGCTGCTTCCACTGAGAAAGCACACACCACTTCCTTTCACTTCCCTCCTCCTCTGAATGCCTACAGCTCTCAGTCTTGAGAGTGGCCGGGAAATCCCTGGGCTGGGGCTGTACCCTCTGCCCCAGCAGGGTCCAAGTGTTATCGGCCTATGGAAGGCACCTTGGTGCACCAAGACATCGTGCATTCTGGGGCTACCACCTCATCCTCCTTCCATCCCTTTGTGCAAAATTGAAACAGTGTGTGGTACTTGCATGTTTCATTCTTTTAAAAAAGTCTCCCTCCCTCCCCTGTTTTAAATGTTTATATAAATTCTTATTTAAACAGTAAATTAGAAATCTTATTTACATTAATTTCTTTGTTCTCCCAAAAGAGTGCCTAACCTCACACTCCTACCCTTTGTTGGATATAAATGTTCACCTAAGTTGGTTTTGATTACGGTTTTAAGGAGCTCCAGTGGCACAATCAGTTGGCGCACGGTACTCATGTATTACTGCTTTAAGGAGAGAGAGGGAGAAGAAAGAACCACCCACTAAACATGCCCATCTTCTACAAATAAATACGATCACATCAGAAGCCAGTCTGTCAGGCAAGGGTCTTGCAGAGTTGCCCTCAATCGGTAGATCC